GTCTTCCTCAGTCCCCCCCCCCCCCGTCTCTCTTCCTCTCCACCTTTCATTTTTGAGATAAAATTCTATTTAATGAACCTGGAGCTTGCTGATTTGGCTGGAATAGTTGGCTATCAAGTCCAAGTGATCCTATGGTCTCCATCTTCCCAGTGCTGGGATTACCAGCACATGTTACCCAGCTGACTTTTTGCGTGGGTGCTAAGGTTTCAGACTCAGGTTCATAAGTTTTCCCAACTGAGTGATCTCCCTAACTTCTCTACTACAATTTTTAAACTATGTTTTTAAAAGAGCAATATTTTAGCCAGGTGGTGCACGCCTTTGTTCCCAGCACTTGGAAGGCAGAGGCCAGCCTGGTCTATGGGGTGAGTTCTAGGACAGCCAGGGCTACACAGAGAAACCCTGTCTTGAAAAACAAACCAGCAAAGGCAATGTTTTAAATTTCATAACTCCAATTACTTGTTTTTTTATTTATGATTTATTATTTATATTCCATCTAAGGAATCTTCGTTTCCAAAGATTGTAGGGCTTTTATATCTTATTTTGAAAATTTTATAGTTTGAGTTTTTACATTTATTCCTATGGTCTGCTTTGAACTAATTTGTGTAAGTAAAGGTAAAAGAAAAGGTCCCTGCCCCTCACCAGCTGCTGCAGTCACAGTGTGGTTCCTACACCATGCCTGGACAACACAGAACAGTTGACCCTGAGGGTGTAGGTGTGAGAGGTCTGACCCTGAGGACATGAAAGCAGCAGAACTGGCCCTGCTCCTTGTTCATCGCTGAACTGGCAAGCAGACCAACCCTCCAGTTGCCCAGGCCCAGAACCACGGGTATGAATTGGCCCACCCCATCTGTGATATGCTGGAGCACATGAAGGTAGGGGTCCTGCAGATGTAAAGCTGCAGGATTTCCATAACACAGGGCCACAGCAGTATAACCAAGAGAAGTCCCAATGAGGTCCCAGCGTCGATAGGGTAGCAGAAACCAGAGACCTCAAACTAGACCAATGAAACTTTTAAGTAAAGATACATGGATAAAAGGGTTTACTGCATGACTCACTGTGTAACACTACAGCTTCCATGATGAGATTGAGTTTTTCCTTCTCTTTTTACTTTTCTCTTTTTTGGGGGGGGCAGTTAGAGACAGGGTTTCTCTGTGGCTTTGGAGATTTTCTTTTTTCTTAAATTTTATTTTATATTGGGGGAAAGGTTACAAGGGCAAACGGTGGATATGAAGGGATGGGGAGATGAGGAAATGAATGGAATGGAGAGGCATGATGTGAAAGACACAAAGAATAAACAAAAAGGAGGGGAAAAGGTCTCTTTTGTTCCTGGAAGAATCTACATTTGTTTCCAGAAATATTTGTTGAAGAATATACGTTGCCCAATGGATGATCCTGATACCTTTGTAAAGAAATGAATTGGCAATATATGCATAAGTCTATTGCTGTACTCAACTCTATTCCACATCTTTAGTAATACTGCAATGCTACTACAGTCCTTTACTAAGACAACTTAAACCTTGAAATCATGGCTATCAATTCTCCAGATGTTTTTCCTCAAAATTAGTTTATTCTAGGTCCTTGGTCCATAAATTTTAGGTATAAGTTTGCAATTTATAAAAGAACTACTGCTGACATTGGGGGTTTTATTAAAATAAATGTGTTGATTAATTTAGAGTATTAAATTTCAGAACAAGATTATCATTATATATGATTACATTTGTTTTGGTCTTTGGTTCCTTTCATCATTATTTTACAGTTTTAGTATACGGCTTACTTTGAAACATTTCACATTTCAAGCTCATAAAACATAACAAATGATTTCTACTTCTACTTTTCAATTGTTTATCACCAGCATATAAAATCCAAGTGTATTTTGTATGGCAGTCATGTATCTGAAAGTCTCATACACTGAATTCCCAATTCTCTGGGGGATTGCCTTCTCCTGTCCTCTGCTCCCAGAATGCCACTCCTTCCTCCTGCTGTCATCTCATCCTGAAATAGACTTACTGTATATAACTTAAGATTATTTAAATATATGCTCATCGACTTGCGAACACATATGAACCATTTGAAGCAGACATTTTGGAAAGAGATTTGTTCATTTCTTTTCATTCTGAAAATCTCACACGGTTTTGTAGCACAGTATATTCTGGCTCACCTCATGAAAATTCTTCGCATGTCTAGGGGCCCCTCACAGGAGGAGCCATCAGCTGCCCTGTCCTTTACCAAGGTCCAAAAACAGCAGCTGTTGCCTGTAGAGTCTATATTTATATAATGACTTAGCAGAAGAGACAGATGGTTGTTGTTTTTTTCCCCAAATTTAATCCTGTTTTTCAAATAAGACCATGGTTTCTTTTTTTTTCCTTTCTGAAATGAGACAGGATCTCCTCAGCCTAAGCCAGTATTTAACTAGAGATCCTCCTGCCTCAGTTCTCCCAGTACTTGGTTTTTGTAGGCAAGAGATATTGTTCCCCCGCCTTTTCTTTTTTAATTTTAATTTAAATATAATTGCACTAATTTCCCTTCCCAAGTCCCTTCTCTCCAATTCCTTTCATGCTTCCTCCTCTCTCAAATTGATGGCTTCCTCTTCCCCAATGCTATCATTATATATAAAATACATATATTTCATTTATCACCAAAAACAGTACAGAAACGCATTAACAATTTAAAAAAATTAGCCAGGCGGTGGTGGCACACACCTTTAATCCCAGCACTCAAGAGGCAGAGGCAGACGGATCTCTGAGTTCAAAAACAGCAAGGTCTACAGAGTGAGTTCCAGGACAGCCAGGGGCTACACAGAGAAACCCTATTTCAAAAAAAAAAAAAAAAAAAAAAAAAAAAAAGGAAAGGGAAAAAAATCTACATAAGCTTCTTTCTTAACTAACTTCTTCACAGCCTTTATACTGAAGGGAAAATGGATTTATAGCGAAGGAAAATGGACAACTTTGTGAGCTGAGGGGACAGCTGGAGGTAGGAGGGGCATCCTGCAAACAGAGGAGTGGGGAAATCAATCCCGCAGAGAACTGGGGATGGCTAACAACAGCCCATTGAGATCACACTGCTCTCCTCCTTCAGACAAAGGAATGCCTGCAGCTCAGAGTGACAGGGTCCAGGCTGGAGATGTCCAAGTGACCTGGAGATGAGGAAGGGGCCTGGACTTTGCCTGAAAAGACACTCAGGGCAGGAGGAGAGGCTGGGGCCGGGGGCGGAGCTTTGGTTTGTGATGCAGGTCTCACGTGATTAGCCCACGCAGGCTCACACCCCTCTCCGGGTCTCTGGACCTGCCCTTGCTCACTCCCTCCAGCCCGCCATCCCCAGCTGAAGCACCTGTTCTGGTGGCGCAGCTCCTGGTGGCGCAGAGTGCTCGGCCCGGGCAGCGC